TATCAAGAGCAGCTAGACATCTTGAGAGACAAGTAGCATGTCCTCAGATTTTCCCTGAGGGGCCTGGTCCGAAACTGCTGAACAGCATTAACCAGACAGAAGAGGAGAGAGCCCGTTCAGAATGGGACTCTCCTGAAGAGGGCAGTACCCTAAGGGTCCCAGACGCTTCACGAGTGACCTGCTTTAGTTTTTAAAGAAGCTCACAAGTGGATTCGTGAATATGAGTGGATGAGCTGGACCGTTTCCCAAGTGAAACTTAACCATCAAAGCTGTGGCCTCTGTTTCTATGGAAAGTCGTGGATTTGTACTTCGGGGGGGGTCCTTTTGGATCTGGATCTCATTTTAATATCAAAACTAGCTGAGAACTGTTGTGGGGTTTCTTGGATGTCCTGTGAAAAGCACAGTACTTCAGAGTACACTGAACAGCATATTTAACCCAGTTTAGGGTTTTTTTTTTTTGCCTGAGGATTTATTGAGGCTCAACACTATATTAAATTAGATGAATGAGCCACATAAAAAGAAATTTCATAAATATTAAGGTATTATGCAGCCAATAGACTCTTTCCTGTGAATATAATAATAATAAGAGGCTGTTCTAACACATGGACTATTTTTGTACTAGAATTTGCTAACTTGTAATATGGAATTTTATTTGGCCAATAATCAGGCTATCTCTACAAAGTCATCTGGTAGGAAATTTAACTCTAATTACAAAAGCTATGTTTCAAAATAATTCTACCAAATTAACATGTCATCATCTGGTTTTTAATTTTTAAATGTTTGTAAAAGGCATTGGGGGGGAGGGATGTAAGGGGGAGGGTGTCTCTTTTTGTAAGTACAAAAATAAATGAACGCTGCATTGGTTTAAAAAAAAAAAAGTGTTATTGTAATGTTATTTCAAAGGGTGCAGGAATCTCCAGAGATGTCAATGCAGGCTGGATCATTTTACTAGAAATAAGTAATACTGTCTGGGTGATCTTTCCTCCAAAAGCATGATCAGACAAGTATTTGTGATCACCCTAGAGAAGCCACAGAATTTGTTTAGAGCCACATCTCAGCTGAGGGAGCAGGAGCTCTGTGTGGGAGCGCTTGTTATCTGTGCTAACATGGTGTAAAATGGGCTCCCCCAGCCATTGCTAAAAGTGGCCAGCACTGCAACAAGAAATAAGCTTCACACAGCTGTGGCCACGTTCCTTGTGTGGCATTTCAAAAAAAGAGCATAGTGCTGGTGCCTTGCCTGACTTTTGCTTGTGGAATGGTTTTGGAATTGTTTTGTAACCAAATCTATAGACTTGCTCGTTTTCATCCCAAAAGTCTACTTTGTGCTGGGAAAGAAGAAAGTGGATGTCTTGGTTCTTTCCAGGACCTGACCATTCAGGTGTGCCCCAGTATATGGCACAGAAAGGCTGCGAGAGCTGGGCCTGTTCAGCCTGGAGAAGAGAAGACTGAGAGGCGATCTCCTCAACGTGTTTAAGTACCTGAGGGGGGGATGTCAAGAGGATGAGGCCAATCTCTTCTCCGTGGTGCCCAGCAACAGGACAAGAGGCAATGGGCAGAAACTGGAACACAGAAGTTCCATCTGAACCTGAGAAGAAAGTTCTTTCCTGTGAGGATGACAGGGCACTGGCACAGGTTGCCCAGAGAGGTAGTGGAGTCTCCTTCGCTGGAGATATTCAAAACCCATCTGGATGTGATCCTGGGCAATATGCTGTAGAGGACCCTGCTTGAGCAGGGAGGTTGGACTAATGATCTCCGGAGGTCCCTTCCAACCTAAACCATTCTGTGTGATTAGTTTGAGAGGTTTATGACTTAAGAAAATTAGAGTATTGAAATGAGTAACTATTTCTTTATCAAACTGTCAAATAGGTGCACTTTGTCGCCCCTAAGCTTCTGGCAGTAGCAAACACTATTCTTCGCCCTCGTAAGGAATGCCAGGCAGCTGTGACAAGGATGCGCTGCTTTGCACTCTGGCCTGGGGGCACTGACCCTCTTCAGGGAGCAGCTCTGCAGTTTGTGGCTATCTGGATCTTAGGAGGAAGGCCGTTTTCTTTAAGGGCAACACAGCCTTCCAAACGTGGACATCCTGTATCGACTGGTCAAGGTCTTCTGCTACCTTGCGAAGCCCAAGACACATGAAAGGCCCGGACAGCCAGAAGATGACTTTTATTGTGGCAATCTCACGTGCGCACTGAGTGGAGCATCTTGAGAGAGCTATAAGAACCACCAGCTTCCCAGCTATCCTTCAGTAGGGCAGCAGTCTGCGTCTTTGACTAGCAGGACGTTTCCCACTGAGAGCCCCGTTTGAATTTTGCACGTACGTGACACCATTCCACACGATGGCAATTCCGGCCTCGTGCCCGCGTCGACCGGGCCTGGGCGTTCTGCTTGCGCGTAGCCCCTCTCCCACCGCCGGGAGGA